AACCTCTAGTGCACTGAGAAGACTGACAGTGAGCTGTTTAACCCCTAGAGCACTGAGACAGTCTGACAGTCAGCTGTTTAACCACGAGAGCAGTGAGACAGTCTGACAGTGAGCTATGTAACCCCTGGTGCAGTGACACAGTTTGACAGTGAGCTATTTAACCCCGAGTGCACTGAGACAGTCTGACAGTGAGCTATGTAACCCCTAGTGCAGTGAGACAGTCTGACAGTGAGCTGTTTAACCCCTAGTGCACTGAGACAGTCTGACAGTGAGCTATGTAACCCCCAGTGCAGTGAGACAGTCTGACAGTGAGCTGTTTAACCTCTAGTGCAGTGAGACAGTCTGACAGTGAGCTATGTAACCCATAGTGCACTGAGACAGTCTGATAGTGAGCTGTTTAAACCCTGGTGCAGTGAGACAGTCTGACAGTGAGCTATGTAACCCCTAGTGCAGTGACACAATCTCACAGTGAGCTGTTTAATCCCTAGTGCACTGAGACAGTCTGACAGTGAGCTGTTTAACCCCTAGAGCACTGACACAGTCTGACAGTGAGCTGTTTAACCCCTAGAGCAGTGAGACAGTCTGACAGTGAGCTATGTAACCCCGAGTGGAGTGACACAGTTTGACAGTGAGCTATGTAACCCCCACTGCTGTGAGACAGTCTGACAGTGAGCTATGTAACCCCCAGTGCAGTGAGCCACTCTGACAGTGAGCTGTTTAACCGCTAGAGCACTGAGACAGTCTGACAGTGAGCTGTTTAACCCCTCGAGCACTGAGACAGTCTGACAGTGAGCTATGTAACCCCCAGTCCACTGACACAGTCTGACAGTGAGCTGTTTAACCTCTAGTGCACTGAGAGAGTCTGACAGTGAGCTATGTAACCCCTAGTGCAGTGAGACAGTCTGACAGTGAGCTGTTTAACCCCTTGAGCACTGAGACAGTCCAACAGTGAGCTGTTGAACCCCGAGTGCACTGAGACAGACTGACAGTGAGCTGTTTAACCTCCAGTGCACTGAGACTGTCTGACAGTGAGCTGTTTAACCCCTGGTGCAGTGAGACAGTCTGACAGTGAGCTGTTTAACCCACAGTGCACTGAGACAGTCTGACAGTGAGCTATTGAACCCCCAGTACACTGAGACAGTCTGACAGTGAGCTGTTTAACCCTGAGTGCAGTGAGACAGTCTGACAGTGAGCTGTTTAATCCCCAGTGCAGTGAGACAGTCTGACAGTGAGCTATGTAACCCCTAGTGCAGTGCGACAGTCTGACAGTGAGCTAAGTAACCCCTAGTGCAGTGACACAGTCTGACAGTGAGCTGTTTAACCCCTAGTGAACTGAGACAGTCTGACAGTGAGCTATGTAACCCCCACTGCTGTGAGACAGTCTGACAGTGAGCTATGTAACCCCTAGTGCACTGAGACAGTCTGACAGTGAGCTGTTTAACCTCTAGTGC